ACATGCCCTTGCTGGATCAATCAAATTGAATCAAAGTCATTCACATACATTGCCTTTGTTGACGTCACTCCTTCTGTTGGGTCATGTGCAAAAACTTTGGAGAGCATGCCGCTGGTTTCACCGGTTCTGGCTCACATATACTCAGTTTGCATTGCATCCGCAAATTTTAGACTGCTGCATCAACTAACATTCCATGCAGCAGCATTCGAATGGACATTTCCTGAAAGACCCGTTGACCTGGCCTCTTCCCACAGAGCTTTGGCCGCCACGGCGTTGCCACTTTTCATGGCTCTGTTGAGCCTCTTCCCCAGCGCGGGGACTGCAGCTGTGCGCACCGGCTCAAACAATAATTCGGCGAGAGCAATCTGTACTATGGGCACCACTAAATTGAAGGCAGCGACAAAAAAGGATCCACCTTCAACGGCGAGAAAAAGGACAGACATCAGTGCCTGGGGCACATTCTCAATGAGCAAGTGGTGCCGCTTGCTCTTTGTCACTTGTGAGTAAATTGCGGGGAGGATGGTCCCTTCCCAACAACTTCCAGACAACTCACCCTGGACCTTTGGTGCGATTAGCAAAACTGCGAGGTGGCTTGCGGCCAGCTCGTTAAAACAGTTTGCACCTTGTGCCTGTGGATTTGGGTCTACATATTCTTTTTTGCCATACGAGTACCATACCATACCATAGTGATAGTGAGTCTGAGAGGAGATGATCGTATGCCCAACGGAGCTTGGATATCTCGCAACATAGAAGAACCAAGCGTGGAAGGCTAGTAGGTACGACCAGCTCAGCACACCCACAATCTTCATGAAAAGGTGCTGTGACTGCAAACACAGCCCTCCAAAAATGATATCTCTCAAAGTGTCAAACTGGTCAGACAAAAATGGTGCCATGGAGGAAAATGAAGCCATGGCAAAAGCTGTGGCATCAAAGTGGTCACCCGCTTTGAGCCAGGCCACCGCCAGCACAGCTTGGATTAGAAGGGAGGCACCGGCACAACAAAACAGCAACAGGTAAACTTCCCAGTCCAAGCCCAGTGTCTGGGAGAGCCTTCCAGTCTGGAGGCTCCAAAGGCATGCCGCGAAGCTCAACAATACTGTGCTGCCAAAGCTCAACATGACCAGCCGTAGTTGAGCCTCTTTGCTTAGTGGGGTGGTCTGACCAAGAGCCTGGTACCAGTAGGAGCCAAGTGCTTTTAATTCGGCTCCTACCATCATGATCACGGTCCCTGAGATAACAACACAAACAAAAACCAGGAGAAAAACGCAAACGAACCAATGGAAGCGTTCTGCCCTTTCCCGATCCGTCATGGCTCTGATTTCAGCAATCGTTGGTAGGAACGCTTGTGGCTCCTCAACAGTCTGAGCAGTAAAATTTCCATGCACTGCATTGTCCACAATTCCAACCAAATCTGGCAGGTTGGGAATTTCTGGAAGACTGAGACCAAATGCAGCGCAGATCAGGGTCAGCAGCTGGATTTTCATGGCGCCACGTCGGGAGGTCTAAATCTGTTTCTATCTGGGCGCCGTTGAACTTTCAAAACTGGACACAGGAAAGTGCAGGCATGGGGCCGGTGTGTCAATTTCAAGTTCGCGCAGTACAAGATCACGAGGCTCAAACTCATCTGTAAGAAACTTTGAGTTCGTGTCAGAGTTTGCCGGAGATCACAGCAAACAACTCTGCGAAAGAATGAGATGCAGCGCAGCGTCTTACTTTTCCGAGCGGCCACACTGTGATTTTTCAGTGGTATGGGCGCTCTCACTGGATCTCCGACCCTTTCAAGGCCCATCTATGTCGAATAACATGAAAAGACAGTGAAGGTGACGGCAAAAACACTGATGGTTCCTCTTTTCACTCTATTCACAATCATGGCACACGGCGATTCAGACAATTCGTTTCTCTTGTGCGGAACTCCGTCGATGGCGACCTGCTTGGATGCCAAAGGAGTCATATCGTGTCACTGCTGAGGTTGGTCCCCCATGTTGATTCTCTGTTCAGCATGAAAGCAGATATTTATTTTGGCTACAGATATCTATTGTTCTCAGCAAGTGGGGCAGTCTAGACAGCCGCTCCCTACCGCACCTTGGTGCTGCCATGGACACTCCTGTAGGGCCATAAGATTTCTGGATTCACCAGTGGGAAACCTCGGGGTTAACCTCTCAATCAAGGGTTTAATTGACGGAAATCAATCACCTGATTCATTTCATCTGAAGGATCTTGCCCGGGAGTGCAGAAATTTCAATTCTTGATGGAACAAAATGTGAAAATGTCACCAAACAAGAACGACTTCTCAGAAGTGAAGTCATCCATAGTCATTACCGAATCCTGAAGTCACAAGCAGACACTCCAACGAGTCTGTGACTCTCAACTCTTTCGGCACCTTCGATCAATCAATGAAATATATATATATAATGATATGGTTAATGCGTGGTAAGGAAACTAGTCTTAACCCCATGCTTTGGATATGGTTTATACCCCCCCCTGTGGTGGACTTGGTGATGATTTAAGATTGGGCTCACCACATCAACAGAATGATCAGAATGCAGTACAAATGTGAACGATTGTTCAACAAGTGTTCCACTGCAACATCCAAATAGACCATGCTTCCAGAAAACATCTCCAATGATTCCCTCTCTCCAGAAATTTCTGAACGCAATCGGATCACCTAGACCCCACGATTTCTCTCCCCCAAACCAATGCTGGCGCTCCTTTCGATGTGTCTGTGAGCATGCGCTGAATCTCACCACAGGAAACTTGTGAAGCCAGTGGAAAAGATACCGTATCAGTTCAGAGCTGAGTTTTGGATAGCTTTGGCTTTGGCGCGTTTTGGTGACATGGTAGAGGCTGTACATACTGAAACATCCTGAAACTGTCCAACAGATTGGTCAAAGTTTCAACCTTCCGCATCTATTGCACCACCTCTTTGGGGCCCAAAACGCTGCAGCGGAAAATTCAGCATGGTGCAAGCAGTGAAGGGCAAAAAATGTCCTGTCCTGTCATGACCAATCGAGGTTGGGATATCATCCAGTCGGGGACATGTCTTTGGTCATGAGTGCTGAATGTGCCAAGGAAAACCTCTCCACACAACTTTATGAAGGCCAATGATTGGAGGAAAAAGTCAAGAAGATGCGCACCAATAGCAATTCGATACTTTTGATTTGATTCCGATGTGTTTCGCACGTCTAATCTGTGCTCAAGCAGAACTGCAACCCTTTGAAGCTGATGCCAGAGCTGCCACGCTCAACAACTTTTTAGACTTGGCTATATAAGCTTAATTCAACTGTATACTGAATTGTCACATTGTACAAGAGTTACAACTACCATTGTTATATTGACTTGGTGTTGCCGCAGTGCAATCACACATTTGCAGCTCAAATGCATGGCCTCAAATAAAGAGTTGACAAGTTCCAAGGGAAAGGTCGCGTCTGTTCCACTCAGTGGTCAGCAAGCCAAGCTATATAGTTGAGCATGGGCATCATTTCTTTCATATCTGTACGAGGAACAGCTCTCCACTTGTAACATCGTTGGAACAGAAGCACCACCCGTCATTTGCCAGTGCCTTGGTGTCCCAAGATGTTGGGCCGTATTTTACGGGTGGATGGATTACAACCCTTGTACATACAGCACCCGGGCCTTCTGTGTCTATATTAGTGCGGGACCAGTCATCAATCATCACGGATCTCCAAAATCATCAAAGTTCCCAATATTCTGTGTCTATATTAGTGCGGGACCAGTCATCAATCATCACGGATCTCCAAAATCATCAAAATTCCCAATATTCCAGAGCTTGGGACTCTTTGTTACCATGAAGTCATGAAGGTCTCGATTTCCCAGTCTCCACTTCAGTTCTGTGACAAAACCTGAAATCCCAAGCACTGATGCAAGTCAGATAGGAAGGCAACCTACCACGCAAACTCTTGGGCACATAGAATACCTGTAGTTGTATGACGAATCGAAGGGATGTTTTTATCCAAATGCTCCATGCGCACCAGCATTCCTCTGCCTTGCCGAGCTTCAATTCTTTAAATCAGTTTCCTCGCCAGGGATACTACCAAACAAAATTCTAAGCCAGGCACAAGACATAAAATGTCATAAAATGAAAAAAAGTCATAAAGGGTGCAACACTCTCACCATGCCTAGGCAAAACCATAATGATTTTCATATATGGCATGCTTCGGATTTGTCAAAGTCAACTGCTGCAATGAACACAAGCAGCCATTCTCCAAGGATGCAGTCAAGCAACGATTGTTCGACGTCCAGCGGCCTGGAGATCCAGAAAAGACACAGCTGAGAACCTGATTGAACCCCTCCAATCCTGAAATATGCGCTAGCTCGCATAACTTTGGACTCTACTCACCTTCTGGATTCAAAATCCAACATACAATCGCTGTGTATGCTAGATGGGTTCCAAGATTTCGTCATTTGAGAAACCCACATGAGACTTGCACTCAAACTGATTGAACTCTGTGGCATGAGAACTTCGACCAGCACCAGATTGCTAGGATCAGCCAATGTAGCACCGGGTTGCAGGTACAAATTAATATACACAAAAATGAACATATCTGGCTATCGGCCATGACAGTACCACACTCAGACAGTAAAAGGAGAATCTGTCGCCAGAAAAACATGCAAAGACCAATAGCTGCTGGCAGAACGACATCTGTCATCATGTTGGGCATCAAACTCGCAACAAATCATGCTGAAGCAAAACATGGCACAACTGAGGCTCTGTTTTGTTGAAAACTATTGAACTAAAACTCTTCATGGCCTATGTGGTGCTCACCTACGGTCTGGTAGAGATCTCTCACAGCAGGGAACGTTCTGCTTCTGCCAAGCTGCCGTGCCACCCCTCTCGTGATGGTCCAGCATTGTAGTGGCCAAGCCCTGGGATGCACACCGGATCAAGCAGAGTTCGCAAAAACGGCACAGTTTTTTCTTGTTTTTTCAAAGCCTCAACATGGTCCTCAGTTGCTGTCAAGTCACTTCCTGTCTTCTTGTTTTCACTCCCTAGGTGCAGAGCCGACAGCAACTGTGCAGGGTTCTTCAGGGAGTTTGACTAAAAAAGAGGGGTCGTTTCGAAAGAACTTCTTCTCTCTATTGCCGTACAAGTCGCTCACACTGCAGTTTCATCACTTTCTACTACAACTGGTTGGTATTTGAATCATTTTAAAGGTAGGTGACAGTAGGTGATACATTCAGCATTTTTGAGCCATAGCCAAGCCGCCGGTAGATGCAGACGTCGTCACCCCGCTCCTTTTTGATCTTCTCTGCCTCTTCAAGTGCCTGGCCGCCCGGAGCCGAGCTGGGAACTGATCTCCAAAGCCGTTGTTCACACTTCAATACATGTGGAGACTCCGTGAGCGCAGAAGTGTCTGTTCAATTCCAATTCAAAATGACAAGAATAGAATTGTTGTGATCAACACTTCCACTACACTGAAACATCTGAAACAATGAATCATCCAATTCACTACTCATCTCACCTACAAATCACACCTCGTTTCACCACAAGGAAGGTCGCACAGTCGCACCCCGACGTTGCGGGGCACATCTCCTCTCCCTTCCTTACTGACCCCCCACTGGCGCCTGGCGGCCCGGTGTGCCACGGGAGCCGACGCAAAGCCACAGACTGGATCCGAATGGTCTGAGCCGAAGATACCGCAGACTTCGGTTCTGCAGCAGCCCGGCAGCCAAGGCCTGGCTCCAGCGCTTGGCATCGGATCCGACAGCCCATCCGGAAAATCCAAAGGTCCGACTGCAGGGAACAGCCCACGATAAATATCCGAGCGTGTACGTAGAGGCCCGCCTTTGCAAGAACTGGCCTTAGCAACATCTCCCACACCCCTTAACGATCACCCTTCTTGCCACATCAGCCCCAGCTATACCCAGACTGTCGTTCATTCCCCGACACCAGTGGGCAGGCATTCATTCAGCAAGAAGGGCCTCAGCTCCACGGTCACCGATGTTGTTGCCCTGGAGCCATAGCCACCGCAAACTTCCGTTGCTCTTGAGGCTTTCTGCCAAGGCCTGGCCGCTCGGCGGCGTGGGGGAACACTTGCAAGCACAGAAAGAAATCGGGGAAAATCTACCGCGTGGCTGCGTGGCTCTTGGCAAACCAACAACCAGTGGACGGAATCACCAGGTGGGATGACAGATAACTCCTAAATCTTTCAATAACAGTGTGTCAAAAATGGACTGAATGTCAAGCATGCGATCACCCAGAGATAAAAAATGATAAAAATCTGGTTTGTTCCACACAAATTTGCAACGCGCAACACTTTAATCTTGTTGTGCATGGCATTGTTTGGCTCTGTTTGGTTGGCTCTCTGAATCATCTAAGGAGAGCCTTTGTGTTTGCGCAACCCGCAGTTGCAGAACTAAAGCATCCGCATTTTACCGCGTACGAAAAACTGGCTGTAATTAACATCTCGCCTCGTTAGCTCAAATTTCAGATGTCTATGGATTTACCACCTCGCCTTGTCACTTAAAGTTCTTGTCTAAGTCTAAGTTCTTCTTTTTCACACTGTCGCCAGGAAACTGCCCCAACACTGGCAACAACGGGCTCACCACGGGAACACAATGGGGCTACAAAGGAAGCCTGCTCACGCACAATGACGTGCAGGAGCCAAATCAAAACCCACCAAAGCCTCCCGTGCCGAAGAAGTGTATTTCCCCAAACAGTTTCCTATGAGGGTTCCCAAAGCTTTCAAAAATTCAAAAGTGTGTTCGCCTTGCTGTTGGATGCAGTGTCCGCCTTCTGGCAAGCATGTCTCCCATTGTCTCTCTTCTTCTCTCCCTCCTTGTCTCCTTTCCTTGCCTTGATGTCCTATGCTGTGTCCACCTTTTCACACCTCTTCTCCGCTTGATCCCTTTTTGGTCTCCCTGCTTCACGTCCTTCTTGTCATCCTTTTCGTCTGAAACCTAGTGGAACCTTTTGACATCATCTTGGACGGTCGATTTCATAACATGCCTCAGAACTTTGCTGTACGATATTTATACCCAACAACTGTTTGGGGTCTATGGTGGTGTATATTTTTTTTGCTGACCAGCAATTGGGTGGACTTGGGAGACCCAGAAAAAACAAAAAGTCGATGAATTGATTGCGAGTTGTATCTTCTCGTTGTGTGACAGAAGAATTAAGCATCATTTGGCAGTTCTGGCGGCTCTGCTTGCTTTGACACTGTAAATGACTTGGAGAGAGCTCGTGAGGTAGTTTTGACCCTTAGCCCTCCAAGACTTGCAGCAGAAGGTGGCATAGCCTGTGGCTATATTTGTCAAAGAGTTCAAATTGTTGGGTCGATAAATATCTCAGGAAGGAATGAAACATCCTACCTGCAACATCTCCTCACAGCTTTCCTTTTTCACACAAACTTCACCCCGAACCCTTTGAAGATCACCCTTCTTGCCACATCAGCCCCCAAAACTGTCGCTCATTCCCGTGACACCAGTGGGCAGGCATTCAGCAAGAAGGGCCTCAGCTCCGCGGTCTCCGATGTTGTTGGAGTGGAGATCTAGCTCCGCCAAACTTCCGTTGCTCTTAAGGCTTGCAGCCAGAGCTTGGCCGCTCGGCGGCGTGGGGGAACACTTGGGATCGACTCCTCTCCCCACCTCCCCAAGCATAGAACACACATCAGGGGAAATCTGCACTGTGGCTCTTCCCAAACCAACAACAAGTGGACGGAATCACCCTATCATCTTTCAAAGACAGTTTGCAAAGTACGGGTTAGAGTGTCCACTACGCGATCACTGGAAGGTGTTTGGCTCTATGAATGACCTAAGAGAGCTTATATATGCTGTTGCTCAATCCACTGCGGTGGCACAGCTTCTGACCAAACCACTCCCGGCCAATGCCCCACAATTCTATAACATTTCACATCTTTCCACTCTTCACATCTCACAAGGACGGTGTGAAGCATGGCAGGCCCACAACAATTTCATTCAGATTTTTGAATTCAGATGAAATCTTGCCTCTTTTACCTCGTACCTAAAGCTGGTTTCAATATCCAACACCTCTGCCAGTTTTGCTCAAATTTGGGAGGAGCTACAACTGTTTGGGGTCTATGGTGGTGCACATTTTTTTCCTGACCAGCAACTGGGTGGACTTGGGAGACCCAGACTTGAGAGGGAAGGGTGAAAGATCGAAAGGTAGGCGTGGGTTGGAACAGGAGAAGAGAGCAAGGGAACGAGGCATATCCGCTGCGGACGGACGTGGGTGGAGTTGGGGCGGATATCGAAAAAAGTCTTCTGGGCTTGGACTCGAGGGCGGGTACCAAAAAGGTAGGTTTCAGGGAGGGGGGACACGACACACACACAGACACACAGACATATATATATAAATACATACATATAGTTAGATATATGTATAAATATCAGGTTATGGGGTTTGCGAGGCAACGTGTAACTGGGGGCAGCACATTGTTGCAACGCGGATGGGGTTGATTCTGGTGTGTACATGTGTAGAACAGTGTGGGATTCACAAACGTGGTGTTTTGACCCCAGCATGTACCCAAAGCAACTGACTTAGGGCTATCCTGGTGCTGGAATCTTGGTGCAAAAAGTGGGCCCGCGGGGTGACTTCTTGCAAACGCGGCTTTAGAGGCGGACCTTGGGGGAATCGAAGGGGGGGGTTCAATATAGTTGTGATAATTATGTTCTAGTTATTATAGTAATTCTAGTCATTATAGGTGTTCTAGTTATTATACATGATAACTATATATATACGAATATACATATATATGAAACATATTGAAATGTCATTAGCGAAGTCTTTTGGTTGAAGAGAATATCTTGGAGGAACCCTTGCGGAAAATCCACCAAATGATCTAGATATGCTGAGCAAGGGGCAGCGATTATGCTTCGGCAACCACTAGCCAAAGCGCAATATCCCACAATTGCTGGGTAGAGTATGCATATATATATATACGAATCTATATGTATATTGAGATTATTTAGTATATATATATATATCATGGAATTATTATGTGTATATATATATATAGATACATATCTTTAACTATATTGTCGAAGGAAGTTGAGAAGCTAAACTTCCGACAATATGGACAGATGAAAAGCAGAGCAGGGCAGAGGCAGAGAGAAGAGAAAGTTCAGAAGAGAAAGAGTCAGAAGAAAGAAGATGCAGATGCGCGAAAAGGTAGGAAAGTCGCGATTCACTGTGTTTTTCCAATGATTTGTGGTTCCGGAGGGTCGAAAAGTAGGCTCGCTAAAGCGGCGGGTGCGGAGACATATGGGGAGATGAGACATGAAAAATTGCACGCCGTTGTGGCGCGAAGCACATTTCCAAGTCAAAATGCACAAAACACCAGAGGATCGGACCACTTTTGGCGCTTCAGATGTCGAAAAAGTGCACGCCGTTGTGGCGCGAAGCACATCCCCAAGTCAAAATGTACAAAACACACCAGGGTCTGACCACTTTTGGAAGTTGCGATGTCGAAAAAGTGCACACCGTTGTGGCGCGAAGCACATGTCCAAGTCAAAATGTAGAAAACACACCAAGTGCGGACCACTTTTGGCACTTAAGATGTCGAAAAAGTGCACGCCGTTGTGGCGCGAAGCACATTTCCAAGTCAAAATGTTAAAAACACTAGGGGTTCGGACCACTTTTGGAGGCTCAGAGGTCGAGTTTCGAAAAAGTGCACGCCGTTGTGGCACGAAGCACATTTCGAAGTCAAAATGTGCAAAACACCAGGGGTTCGAACCACTTTTGGAGGCTCAGAGGTCGAGTTTCGAAAAAGTGCACGCCGCTGTGGCGCGAAGCACATTTCGAAGTCAAAATGTACAAACCACACCATGTTCGGACCACTTTTGGAGGCTGAGATGTCGAGTTTCGAAAAAGTGCACGCCGTTGTGGCGCGAAGCAGATTTGGAAGTTAACATGTTAAAAACACTAGGGTTTCGGACCACTTTTGGCGGTTCAGATGTTGCTTCGCTTAACTCGACTACACTACATGACACTACACTTTGCTGCACTACACTACATTACACTACATTACATTACACTACACTTCACAACACTACAGGTTACAACTACAACTACACAACTACAGTCCACTACAGTCCACTACACTAAATTACACTGCACTACACTCTCTACACTACACTTCACTACATTACACTACACTACACTCCACTACACTACAAATACAACTACACCTACCCAACTACACTCCACTACACTCCACTACACAACATTAAACTACACTACACTACCTTACACTACACTACACTCCACAACACTACAACTAAAACTACACAACTACACTCCACTA